AAAAGTTGTATTGGTATCCGAATTACCCCGACCCATGATGGTGTAGAACTCGACCAGTGTAAATATATTAACGATATTTTAATTCGGTTCAACATGGCTGATTGCAGACCAGTTTCTACCCCAAGCGACTACAATCAAAAGTTATCCACCGGTATGGTTTCAGAAAGCGCTGATGAAGATGAACTAGCAAAGATTCCTTATCAGGCTGCTGTGGGCAGTTTATTGTATCTGGCACAATGTACGCGGCCAGACATTGCGTTCGCGGTTAATGACGTCAGCCGATTTAACTCAAAGTACAATGTTTCCCATTGGAAGGCTGTGAAAAGAATCATGCGATATCTCAAGGGAACCAAGGACTATAAACTAAAGTATTCGTCGAATGGTTCACCACAATTGCATGGTTCCTCTGATGCTGATTGGGCATCGGACATTGATAAACGTCGTTCTTGTACGGGATACTTGTTCAAGATGTCAAATGCAGCAATTAATTGGGCAAGTAAGCGCCAACCAACAGTTGCATTGTCAAGTACCGAGGCCGAGTACATGGCAATGTCATCGGCTGTTCAAGAGGCGGTTTGGCTGAAACAATTATCAGGCGAATTGGATTACGGTGGCGGTTCATCAATTCAATTGTACTGCGATAACCAAAGTGCTATCAAATTAGCTGAATCTGATGGCTTTCGACCGAGATCCAAACATATCGATATTAAGTACCATCATTTGCGTGAGACAGTCGAAAACGGGATAATTTCAATAAAGTATATACCAACAGTTGAGATGGCTGGCGACAGTCTCACAAAAGCTGTGGCTAAAGGGAAGAATGATTTTTTCCCACAGAAAATGGGCTTGTATTGAATTTTAATTAATTTCATTAAACATACATATGTATGTATGTAACATTTTTATAAGAATTTGAAATAACTTTCTTTTGAATTTATAGGTAGTAGGTTAAGGCAAAGAATTTAAATTTATTGGTAGCTTATTGAATATCTACATATAGATTTTTTTTTTTTAATTAATTAAATATTCACACCCCTATTGCGAATGTCGATTGGCAGTAGATAAACGACTATTAAGCGATTATCGATTATCGATGCTATTGCGAGTGTCGCTTAGTCGCTCAATTAGCGACTGTGAATACTTTTTAATCGCTCATCCTTCTATTGCTGTTTTATAGTCGTTGGAGTTTGCGTTTATAAAATTTACATAAGAAAGTGGTACTATAATGGATAAAAAGTAAGTCAATTGAACTGGAAGTTGTAAAAAATTGTGAAATATACATATGCATGTATGTGTCTGAATTACAGATCAAAAATTATAAGTAACTTGCGCGGTTGTGAAGACATGGGCAAAGGAATTTCCGGAAAGAGTAGGGTAGGAAGCTCCGCTTCTATTAGAAAAAATACATATACAATATTTCTTGTGCATATAACTCCGGTTACGCCATCCACAGTGTTTTTGCGCAGAGCCAACATCAAAAGTTTATACAAAAAAACTGCATAATTTATTAATTGACTAGTGCTCGGAAATTTGAAATCTTTATTTTAAATTAAAGTTGAATTCTTTCAATACACGTGTTATGTTGTTATGTTAAAGTTTTTAAACTCGGGTCACGCGTTTGGACACAAAAACCCAACATCATTGTACAAAAAACTTAACCGTACCGTATTTCTTAAACTTCCATAAAGTTTATTAATGCGGAAAACAGCTTTTCCTGCAAATCATGTAAAGCCTAAAAACAGTGAAGCATCGGGAGCGCAACTTCTATTCATAAAGCTCACACATGTACATACACCTTCCAAGTCCAACGGATCCGACGAATCTCGCAATTCCCTCCTTGATTTAGCTAACTCTACTAATCTATTAGCTTCCGCATCATCTTCCTCTTCACTAAACCATATTTCAACTGTGTCCATTTTTTTAATTTTATAATAAAAGCAATTATTTTAAAAATTATGTAAATAAAACACTCAAGAAACAAATGTAAACAAACAAACAGCTGTTTATAATTCTGTCAACCATTCACAATAATACAAATTTTTATCGATCATGTTACACAATAGCAAAATAAAAGATGATCGACTCGATCGACAAATTTCTATTCTACTGCCAGTCGACACTCGCAATAGGGGCCTCAAGAAGTGAGGGTATTGTGAATAGGGCCTTAGCTGGCATATATGTAAGTACTCTTTACCACTAACAGCTGTCAAATGTATACTCTCTTTGCTTAAAGGAAATATAAAATGTCACTTCTTCTTTTGCACAAAAAACGATCGCACGTGTTTTTATTTCAACACTTTTTCAATACATTTGTAATTGCGAATGTCTGTCAAATTGACCGTCTTTATTTAACTATTTAAAAATACGTTCTTTGAAAACGAAATTAACTAAACTCAGATGGTTCTACCTGTGTGTCAGATGAATATAGGAACATTCCTATTTCGTATGTACGTGCGTCTGCTTTGTACAGAAACATATTTAATTTGCCTCTGCTCATGGGGCTAGGTAAAATTTTGACAGCTTATAAACATGTATAGGCCGTGTGCCAATCGGTAACATTTTTCTCCGTGGTAAGACGAGGTAAACAAATTTACTATGGTGTACAAATGAATTGAATTTTGCTGTGCTAAATGCAAAGTCAAATTTTGACAGCTCAAAAAAAAAAAAAACACTCGTGTGAAAGCTCTATTTTTGTGTGTTGTTGAAATTTATCAAATTTATATATATTTTGCAACTTGCTACTTGCGTACGCTTGTTTTTGCTTTTTTTCAGCTTCCATTTTTGATTTTCACTCTTTATTAATGTGTTCT